GCTGGCTCTACCGGAATCTTTAGAACTATTGGGTAGCACCAGTTGCAGAAGCGCCGGAGTCTCTCTGTCTCTGGAGAAGGAAGGAAGACGAAGGGAGAAGAGGGCCATTTTCTTCTCTTTTTTTTTTTTTGGGTTTGGGTAGGGCTTCAAATTTTGGGCCTCTTATTGTTAGCCCAATTGTTAAATGAAAATTATTCAATTTATCAAAGTCTAATTAGCCAATAAAATTGAATCAGAATTCTGAAATGCCCAAATCAACTCCCATTTCCCAAATCGTGGAAGGTTGGAAGAGGGAAGCCAAATTGCAAAAACCCTTTTCCAATTTCTTCGCTTCTTCCTTCGTCGGTTCGCCCTTGCCCTACACACGAGACACGGCGATGTTGGACCACTGGTTCGCCCCTGCCTTGCACAGGAGTGACGAGACACTTCTTCCTTTGTCAGTTCGTCCCGCACTTGTTTGTATGTGCTAAGTGCTAAATTGGCAAATTTAGTTTTCTTGTATTGTAATTTGTGTGTGCTAACTGCTAAATTTACTTTTATTATCTGTTTGGTAATTGGGCATTATTTTATTGTACGTGCTAACTGCTAAAGCCTAAAGGAAAATTTAATTTTCACAATGTCTGATATAAAATAATTTTTTTATTTTAGAGAATCTGCTGCTGTGGTCCTATGGAATACAAATATGCTCAGGGTGCTAACTACTAAAGTTATGGAAAGTGAAATCTTGTAAAAAAATAAAAAAATAAAAATTGAAAGGTATGGGATTTCATTTAGTTGTGTTAACATGGCTATGGTCAGTGACTTAAGTTAATGTTAAATATGTTATGATTTATTCATTTGGGAATTAAAAAATTGCGAATTGTGATTTATGAATTATGATAAGTAATCTATGTTTTATGAGTTATAATTATTGTTTTGGAAATTTATGTTTATGAAATTATATTTGCGAATTGTGATTTATGATAAATAATTTATGTTTTGATGAGGAATGATTATTGATTTGAGAATTTATGTTTACGAAATTACGATTGTGAATTGTGATTTATGATAAGTAATTTATGTTTTGTGAGTTATGATTATTGATTTGGGAATTTAAGTTTAGGAAATTAGGATAAGTGAAAAAATTTAATTGAGAATATGTTGGCCGCTCAATTCAACTCGTGTGTACTTGGTTATTTTTTAATCAATTGTAATTGAAAAATAAATTGGGGGCATTTTGCAGATTATGGAACAATTTTTTCAACCAAAACGAAAGTCCATACCCAATTCTTCTACTTCTAGTTGTGCATCTAGTCCCGCAACTTATTCTAGTCGAGCACAAGAGCTACTGAATAACACAAAGAAGTCTCGAGCTCAATTCAATGTGGATGATCTTGTATTTGATCCAGGGATATGTTCTTTATCGAGTCAAATGATCCTAATATCAAATATGATGTTAGGATGGCAAACTTGAAGAAGGCTCCTTGTTAATCATATGGACATGATTTTCCAAGAAGATTGATGATGAATGATAATAGATGTTTTCGGAAAGACTGGTTCTTCGAATTTTATTGGTTGGAATAAAGTGTAGAAAATGATGCGACGTATTGTTTGTATTGCTACATGTTCAAACCTGATAGATGGGGTCAAGGGGGTGGACAAATATATTTACTAAGATCGGCTTTAGGGATCGGAAGCACAAAAAGACATTGAAAGATCATGTCGTCTCTTTGATAGTGCTCATAATCAAGCTTTTGCAAAGTGTACAAACTTGATGAATCAAAAGGAAAGTATCTCCTATGTTATTTCTAGCCAAAGTAGTGGTCAAAAATAAAGTTATAGGACCAGGTTGACTACGGTGCTAGAGTGTACTAGACTTTTCTTGATGCAAGGATTGTCATTTCATGGTCATGATGAATCGAAAGAGTTTCTTAATAGATGAAATCTAATTGAGTTACTGAACTGGCACGCAGATCGTTGTAAGGAAATTAAAGAAGTATTATTTAGTAATGATCCTGAAAATAACCAAATGACTTCACCAACCATCCAAAAGGATTTCGTTAATTGTTGTGTCGTAGAGAAGACAAGGGCTATTATCAATGAGATAGGCGATTCTTTGTTTTCAATTTTGGTTGATGAGGCTCGTGATAATTCTATGAAAGAACAAATGACAGTTGTTTTGAGGTTTATTGACAAAAGTGGGCAAGTGAATGAGCCCTTTTTGGGTATGTCCCATGACACTGATACTTGTGCCCAATCACTGAAGGATGCCATTGATGCAATGTTTTCTACACATGAGTTGCGCATATCTAGCCTGAGAAGTCAAGGTTATGATGGAACAAGTAATATGTCATGTGAGTTCTATGGGTTGAAAACCTTAATTCTAAGAGAGAACCACATGCTATGTATGTTCATTGCTTCAATCACCAGCTTCAGTTGGCAATTGTATCTGTGGCATGTAGGAATTGTATGCTTGGTGATTTTTTCGACATACTTGCTATTATTGTGAATTTGGTTGGTGCAAATGTAAGCGTGTAGATGTTCTTCGAACAAGTTATCAAGCTAATATTCTAGACAAGCTTAATATTGGGGAACTTACTGGTGGAAGTGGTAAGTTTCAAGAAATAAGTTTGGCACGCCCAGGTGATACTAGATGAGGCTCACATCTACTAACAATTACTCGTTTCATGAATATGTTTAATACTATCATCGATATTTTTGAGAATATATCAAAAGATGGCGTACATTCAGATAAAAAATCTTAGACAGTAAGACGGATGAACACTATGCAAGATTTTAAGTTTGTGTTCAGTCTCCATTTTATATTTGAAATTCTTGCAATTACAGACGATCTTTCACATGCCTTATAGAAAAAAGGATCAGGATATTCAGAATGCTATGAGATTATTGAATTTGTGTATGTATGCATTGCAGAACCTAAGAGAGGATGGTTGGGGTACTTTGTTGAGTAAGGTGATTGAGTTTTGTGTTGATAGACATATTTTAGTGCCCAATATGGAGGATATTGTAGTACCAAAAGGTGACTTATTTTCATCGCTTTTATGTTGATTTGTATTGTCATCCGATAGACTCAATCTTGCAAGAGTTGAATGATCGATTTCCAGAAACAACTACCAAGCTCTTTACTTGCATTTCATGTTTAAGTCAAAGAGATTCATTTGCAGCTTTTGATAATGATAAATTGCTACGTCTTACTCAGTTCTATCCTTTGGACTTCAATAGTGAAGAACTTTTCAGCTTGATAAGTTTCTTTTGCTTGTGAGAATGGACGAAACTTTCTTTAATCTCAATAGTATATTCCTTGTAGCTCAGAAGTTGGCTGAAACTAGAAGTTCTTGACATTTTCCATTGGTTTATAGGCTGCTAACCTTGGCTTTGATATTACTTGTGGCAACTGCAAGTGGTGAAAGTGTATTTTCTGCTATGAATCTAATCAAAAGTGATTTGCGCAACAAAATGGGAGATGACTGTTTGAATATCAATTTGGTGGTCTAAGTGGAGAAAGCTATTTTTAAAAAACTTGAGAATGAGGCAATATTGCAA